TGCACCAGAAATAACTAGGACCCCCCCCTTCCTCCCCGCGCCCCCGGCCGGACCGCCCCCCGGGACCCCAGCCAAACCACAGCGTCCGGCGGCACAGAGCCTCTCCCTTATTGCACAACCCCGGGGAGGGAAGATGGCGAGGAAGGGGGTCCTGAGAACCAGCTGCCCCGAACTAAGGGACTCGGAGTGGAAGCTCACCTGTCTGAGACCGGCCCGCTCCTTGTGGGCTGAGTCAGCGTAACGTCCAGGGAACCCTGGGGAGACAGGCAGGAAGACACTCAGAGTCCTTCCCCCCCCAACAACAGTCTTTTCGCTTGAGGCCAGGCCAGCTCTCACTGGAGGGTTGAGGAAGGGGTGCCCCCAGTCGGGGGTCGTGACTAGGCAGGAAGATCCAGAGCTACTCTGGGATCGTCCCTTCTGCAGGTCTCTGTGGACCACTGCAGAATGCCTGAGAGCTAAGGGCCGAAGCTCTAGGCTTATCTCCGTTGCCCTTAGAAAATGCAATCATATGAGTGATGGGGGGGAGGGGCTGGGAGTCAAGAGACCTGGGTTCCAATACTGGCTGGACCACTGAGCAACTGCCATACCTTGCGCAAGTCCCCTCCCATCCCTGGGCCTTCTAACTCCATCTTTGAAACTGGAAAAGTGATGAAATCCCTTCTCCCCGTGGAAGCCTCTTCAACATTCTCTTTCTCCCTTCTTGCTTGGCTCTGAACCTCCACGGAAGAGGAAGACCCGAGCCGGGGTGAGGGGTGGGTACAGAGATTAATGACGGGAAGAGGGACCCTTTTGCACAGGACTTTGTCCAAGAGCTTTGTATGTTCTTTTGCAGACAACCCTGAGGACGGTGACAGCTGCCCCTTTGCTAGGGCTCAGGAGGGCAGGAGGCTGATAAGCACATACTCCTCAGGCCAGGGGGAGTCTGGAATTTTGCCCTTCTCATCCACAATCCACTTTCAACCCCTGCCTAGGAACTTGAATTGTAACCTGGGGTCTGAGGGAGGCCTTAAAACCAACTCAGAGCCAAGCCAGCTAGACAGGAACTGTGCCATGGTCCCATTGCGCCCAGGCTGCTTAAGCCAGGATGGGGGGAGGGAAAAGGAGGACCAGGGACACCTGTCCCCAAGCTCCGAGGAGGGGGTGGAGGTAGGGCAGAAGGGAGGTCATGGCCTGTTTGACAGAGAACCTGCCCATGCTGGAAGCTTGAGGACTCCTAGGTCCTGACTCGTCCCTGGGAGCGCACCCATTTCTTTTCTGGAGGTTCTGGGTGGGGGGTATCCACCACACCACCAGAGGGCAGGTACTGGTCTCCCCCTAGACCAACTCCCCTAATCGCAGTCCCCTGCTTCCCCCGGCTTCCCTCCTCCTCCCCTCTATATTTATCTGCCCTCTGCCTCGCCAGGTGCTGGCGCCGAACGCTGGCTGCGGTGCAGCCCGCCCCACCCAGGAATGGAGCCACGGGGCTTGCTGGGGACCCCTGAGCAGGGGGATGGGAGCCTGACCCGGGCCACAGCACACAGAGGTCTGGTTGCCTCTGGTGGGTAAAGGCGGGAGGGAGGGCTCCTCGAGGAATGGAGATCTTCCACACCAATGGTGCCTCAGTATCTCCCAGGGAGATTTGATTAAAACAAAAACAAAAACCCGGCAGCCAAGAGACCCTCACCATTCCCACGGGATTTCCAGGAGCCTCACCAGAGAAGGCAGAGATTTCTGTCCTAAGTGGCAGGATAATGAGAAGTCCTCAAAGGGCCATCGTCCCCAGCTTTTCCTTTGTGGGGTCCCCGATGCAGACCCCGATTCTAGGATGTCTTTCCCCCCTCGCCCAGGTTCCCGCGGTGAGAGCTCCCGCATCTGGCCCCAGCGCTCACGAACTGTGAGCAGAGCGAACCCAGGCGTTCGAGCCGCCCAGCCGGCCTCGCCACATTCTTTGGCTCTGGCGGAGGCGGAAGGAGACGGGATGGGACGCGGGCCCGGCAGGGAAGGGAGAGGCAGGGCCAGGTCGGGCCACGCGTGACGCCTCCTCTGCCTCAGGGCCCCCAGCAGGTGGACAGCGCCCTGTGTGCGGCGCGAGGCCCCACAGGCACATCCCGTGTAGGGCTGCTTGCCCCTGAAGCTCCCGGGGCTCTGGCTTCCAGACAACAATCTCCCCCACATTTCCAGTGGGCCAAAGAGGACGGCGTCTGGCCCGAGTATGGAGCAGGATCAGGCGTGACGACCGGTTGTAGAGAGAAGAATTGAACACCGTTCTAAATCCCTCCAAACTTACCCTGCGGCCGCCCGCTGGACTTGGGGTCCGTAGCTCAAAGGTCTCGTCGTCCTCGTCCCCGTCCCCGCTAAGCTCGCCGTCCCCGTAGTCCCGGTGCAGAAGAGTGAAGCCTCGACGGCAGCAGAGGAGCCACCACAATCCCCCGGGGAGAGGCATCCGGGCGAGCAGTCGGGGAATGGGGGCGCGGGCAGCGTCGCCCGAGCAGCGGGGGATCGGAGAGACTAGAGGTGCTCGGACCCGAACCGGGTAGAGATGAGGCGCGAGAAGAGGAGAGTAGGGGGCCGGGAGGAAGCCGTGTCCAGTGCTGGGGTGCAAGAGGACGATCGCCAGAGCCTGCTGGGGGCTCAATGTCTGGGCCCCGGCAGAGGGAGGGGAAAGCGTCCAGGGCCGGGGGAAGGGAGCAAGGAGCAATGTCCGGAGCTGGGAAGTAGTGTCCGTTGTAGTGTCCAGCCCTGTGGGGGGCAGTGCCCGTGCAGTGTCCGTGGTAGGCGGTTGTCCAAGCTCCAGGGAGGGTCGTGTCCGGTAGGGCGTCCGGTGGCCGGGGCCCGGGCGGCGCGCGCTGCGCTCCCTGCAGCCCCGGGACTGGCGCGCTGGGGGCGCGAGCTGAGCTCCCGGACCCCGCCTCCCTCTCCCTCCTCCTTCCCTCCGCCTTCCCTCTTCTTTCTCTCCTCCCTTCTTTACAGGGCAGGGTCTGCGTTTCGTCACAGCCGCCTCTGCCCAATCTGTGTGCCTGGCGCCGGCCAGTGCCACCAATCCCACGCTTGAAACCGCGGCGGGTTGCATCATGTGCTTCTGGCTGAGTGACAGCAGCGAGAGGCGGGGGAAATTGGGGAGGGAGGGGGCCGTGCGATGTTAGCCACGCCCCAGCTTCTGAGGTCGGACTCGGGGTGCCTGTGGCGTCACGTAGGCCCGCCTTCTTGCTCTTGTTTTAACTCTTGGTTCACCAAGCAGCAAATTAAAAACCCTCTTAGGGTTTGGAGAAGGAAGGGCATAAAACTGGAAGGAAGCTGGGCCGCTGCCCTGAGATGACTTGTCACATCTTGCAATCGCTGCACAAGTAGAGCGCCTTAACCGCGAGGCGTCCCACGCCTGCACCGGAGAGTTAGCTGCAGAGGCAGCTCTCCATCCTTGTGAGTTAAAAGGGTCCGGTTTTAGATCTTAGTCAACCCACTTTTGAAGTGAAAAAGCTGAGAAAGGAACTCCAGGAAGCCTCGGACAAAGACCTCAGATAAAAGCCAATTTACAAGGTATTAGCTTGTTCAGGGAAGAGTGGCTAGGCATGCTAGGGAATTCTGTAGTCTCAGAAAACAGATCGGAGGCCTCCCAGGGCGAACATGCTCCATTTCTGAGCAAGAAGGGGTTAACAAGGGCGCTAGGAGTCCAGGGCGGGGCCCGTGCTACAGCCGGCGACAGCGGGCGCGCGCGCGATGCTGACTCAGCGGCGATTCCCGCGGTCCCTGGCGGAGGGTTCCAGGTCGGCTCCGGTGGGTAGCGTGCGCCCCTCTGAGGATCTGTGCAGCTTCCCGGCCTTCCCTGGCTTCTGGCTCCAAGAGGCCAAAGTTTTAAATCTCTACCGCCTGAGGCTTTAGGATCGCCGACAAGCCTGGCTGGGTAGGGCTGGGCCGGACCGAGTGAAGACTTCAAGCCAACGCCTCCCTAGGGACCTGCACGCCACGCCCTTTTTGCCCCCGGACTCCAGTCTGGAGCAGTGGGTATAGCTCTGCTGACCGGATACTAAACTGGGAGAATTGTCTCGTTTGAGCCAGTCCTGGTATTTGTGATTGTGCAAAGCAAAGACCAGAAATCAGTGCACCTTCAGTCTCCTTAGAAGCCATCCTGACTGTACTTTCACCCTGGAAGAAAATGGCTCGAGACTTCGCAACCATAACATCCTTTCCTCTTCAAGATCCTCGACACTTGGCCTGCAGGAGAGTTCTTTCTGATATCTAACCTCCCTCTTTCCTGGCGAGCTCCACGCATTTCCTTTGACTTGGTCCCCAGGGGAAATGAACCGCACAAGCACCAACACCCCGGCCCCCCTCAACTCTCTACATACCCAGTAACTCCTCTCTGGAAATTTGCAAATTGCTGCACTCCCCCTCCCCCTGTTTTTAATCCTAGGTGAAAAATTATAACTCAACCTTTTCTTACCTTTTCTTCTTAGGCAGGATATCGCTCTTGATCTTCCCCCCCCCCCCAGTCCCCTCCCTCCCCCAGCCTCTGGAGTGCTCGGGCTATAGGCAGCTTCTAACACACCAGCAGACTGGACTTTTTAATTAGTGTTTTTCTTTCCATTGCAGGACTTTTAGAAGAGGTCCAAAAACTAGAATCTCTTGCCTCCTATCCCTGCCTCCAGACCGGACCCCCACACACACACACAGTTGGGGACAGCATCACCCTGCACATTTTCACACGCTTGGGAACTAGGTACTTGCTAAAGCAGCCATTACTGGATAGCGCTAGGGTTGTTCGAAAGCCCTTTCTCACACACTGACTCTGGCGGAAACCCGCCCCTCCTCACCTGGCAGCTTTCCCACCTCACCTCGGTTGGCAGAGACTTGAGGGAAGGCACAGGGAGTGTCAGTCCTCAAAAGCTTTAGCCGACTCAGCAACCCCCTCCCCCAACACCTCCCACTCAGGCTCAAGCAGGGGGGTGGGGGGGTAACCCACTGTCTTGGCCCTGCTACAACTCGTTTCCCAAGTTGGTGATTCAAAAATAGTAACAGTAGTTGGGTTGCAGTTCATTTGCATTGTATCAATTTAATTAAGCTCAGAGGCAATCTCTTTAGGTCCTGAAGTCTTTCTCAACGTCCCCCCCCCCCAACTTACTCCCCTTTCTCACTACCCTCCCTGGGATCGTTTCCTTCGCCCTCCCCCTACTTTGGAATCGCAGCCCTAGTTGTCCCAAGAGAGACTGTGGGTCTCAGTGGGAGCGGAGCAGGAAGAAAGGCGGAGTCGGCGGGGGCAGCGGCCTCGAGGGTTGGGCTTTGGGCTGCATCCCCCACCCTGTAGCAGCCTCCGCAGGTCCTGGCGGAAGCGCAGGCCCAAAAAAGCGTAAAGCACCGGATTGAGGCTGCAGCGGACCAGCGCCAAGCCGCCGGTGACCAGCAGAGCTAGATCCTTGCGCTTGCTGGAGGTGCAGCTCCGCTCGCGGGCTGCCAGTAGATCGGCTGTATCCAGCAGCAGGGCGAGGCTGTAGGGCAGTTGCAACACCACAAAGGCGGCCACCAAGGCCACCACAACGCGCAGTGCGCGCCGCCGCTCTGGCCCCCTGGCGGCCAGAAGCGTGCGGCCCAGGAGCGCATAACAGGCTGCCATGACGCCCAGAGGCAGCGCGAAGCCCAGGACCACCTGCGCCACAGCACTTGCCCCCTTCACAGTCTGCGTGAGGCCTTCGGGGAAGATGAGGCGACAGCGCCGTTGGCCTTCCCGCGGCCCGTCCCGGCTGAAAAGGAGCGCAGGTAGGGCCAGGAGCAGCGACAACAGCCACACGAAGACAGAGACCAAGTGCGCACGGCCAGGTGCGGAGGGTCGCTGCCCGGCTGGGAGAGCTCGAGCGATGGCCACATAGCGGTCGGCGCTGATACAGGCTAGGAAGAGGAAGCCTGCGTGGAAGGAAGCCGAGTAGAGACCTGAGATGGCTCGGCAGGTGGCACCTCCTAGATTCCAGCCCTGAAGAGCCCCTGCTGCTGCAAAGGGCAAGGTCAGGGCCAATAGGAGGTCAGCCAGAGCCAACTGGAGCAGGTGGATGGAGGTGGGAGATCGGGTAGTTCGTCGGGCTGCCAGATGGGTGGCCAAGACTAGGCCATTGCCCGCCAGACCCAGCACAGCCACCATCAGGGAGACACTGGGTTGGAAGGCCCGACTAAAAGCCTGGACATCCGCCTTGTAACAGAGTTCCGGCAACGGCCCAGCCGAGTAAGCCTCTTCATCGTACCCGGAGTAGGGTTCCCAGGAGACCTGTGACATCAAAACGAGAGGAGGGACCATGGAAGACATTCCTACACCACTCCCGTTCAGGCAGGAGTTCCTCACTCGAAGCCCGAACACCAGGAGATAGACACCCCCCAAAAAAAAATTCTTCCTAGGGTACCCTGAGCAGGCAGTTGCTTCCCTTGCACAGGTTCTGCTTCCAGATTCCTGGGTGACCTTGAGCCGCCACTTGCTCTTTCTGGACCTCAGTTACTTAATGTGTTATATGCCCATTCATTCTAGAATCCTACCGAGGCCACCTGGCAAGGCCTGCAGGGAGGACTGTAGAAAAGATGGACGATAATAGACAGTGGAAACATCTAGCTCGCCTTAGACCAAGCATTTGTATTATTAATAAATCTTGGCTGCTTCTGTTCCCTTTGCAGTGCCCTCTTCTGGAAGGAAGGTCAGGTGCAGGCTTTGCTTCAGCCTTGGACTCCACACTTCGAGCTTAGGCTGAAGGCTGGCTGTCTCCTTTCTCTTCTGTCCTTCCCACCCTACCGCCAGGTCCATGGCGGGGACACTGGAGACACGCATACCCAGAGGGTCTTAAGGAAGTTTTATAGGCTCCTGCATAAGCCATAGGATGACAGGGGCCTGGTGTTAGGTGGGGAAACCCATCCCTCCCCGCTTCCCCACCCTCTCTGCAACCCTCTCCCCGTCCCTGCCCCAACTCCCACCTGCTCTGTGGGCTCGGTCCCCATCTCTGGCTACAAGGGTGTTTCAGGTACAGCCACAGGGGGCAAAGTTAAATAACTAGTCGGGCAGGAAGGAAGGGGTGGGGAGAAAGGCCAAGAAGGAGGGTGGAGATTAGGGTCTGCGGGTTAACTTTTCCATTCCACCTTGCCTGCTTTCTATCTCACCCCTGCCAGTGGGAACAAGAATGGTTATACCATCTTGAATGAGATTTGTTTTCCTCTCTGAGCCTTGGGCTTTCCATGTGCAAAGTGGAGTGGGATGAAGATGCCGAATTCACAGCTATGAAGGTGTCCAGCACTGAGCCGGGGACGTTATCTACCTTCAGAAAACCTCTTTCTATTTGCCCTTCTTTCCATCTCTAGGCGTCCTTTTTCGAAGCTCTTCCCTCCCCTTGAAAATGTTAGACTCCATCTGGTCCCCCCCCCCCAACACACACACACACTTCTCTTTTTGCTAGTCTGCAGCCCCAGTCCTTGTCAGCCTTGGGTTACTTGGGGGTATTTCCCGGTGGCAGGTTGTCTACCCCGCCCTTTCGCAATAGGGCTGAGGCACGCGCTTGCGCGGGGTCCGGGAAAACGCGCGTGCCAGGAGAGAGAGGCTGGGGAAGGGGGCGGAGAAAGGGAGGAGAGGAGAGAGAGGTGAGAGAGGAGAGAGAGGAGAGAGGAGGAGAAAGGGAGAGAGAGAGAGAGAGAGAGAGAGAGAGAGAGAGAGAGAGAGAGAGAGAGAAGAGAAGAGATTGGGGGGGTTAGGAGAGAGGAAGGGTGGGTAAGGACGAAGAAACAGCGGTCGGCCGCGAACCCCAGGAGAAAAGCTGGGGGCCTGAGCCAGAACTGGAGCCCTAGCAGGAGCAGGGCGCAGCAAGGCAGACACCCAGGGCTAGTCAGCTCTGCGTGATGAGTCTCCTCCGGCTCTTCAGCATCCTGCTCGCCGCTGTGGTCCCTGGAGCTCGGGGCTGGGGCTACTGTGAGTGCTGGTCTCAGAGGCAGGTGGGGTTGGGTGCAGGGGTCCGGAGCTTGCAGGGCGAGTCCCGCGCCGCATTGCGGCTGGGTGGTCGCCGGTCCTCTGGCGCCGGCTCGCTCCATCTTTCCCTGCCTCTCCCCCAGCGCTCCGCAATGCAGCTCCGAGACTGCTGTGCGCGCGCCCGGGGCTGGGGCTGGGCTCGGAGCCGAGGAACCAGTCAGCCCAGGGGATTTGGAGCTGTTAATCCAAGCGGCAGCCAGTGCCTGGGTTTGAGGTTAGGGTTGGCTATAAGTGCGCTACTGGTGACCCAGGCTAGAGTTGAGGTTTTCCCCTGAGGGGCTGGGGCTGGAATTTGGAGCTGACCCAGGCACTAGGTAGGGTTTGTGGCTGGGGCTGGGTTTTATGGCTAGAATCCAAACAGGAGTTGGTGACCCTGACTAAGGCCAAGGATGATGCTAAGGCTGGGATCGGGAAGTGGCTGGATTGGGAGCAAAGCCTTATTTGGGGATTGGTGCATGTTTTGGTGGGGGAGGGCTGATGAATGGAATTGATGGTTAAGGCTGGGGTTAATTTGGGGTTCTGGGGCCCATTTAGGGTCTTAAATACGGTGAAGTTTGGGGATTGTGTTTAGAGCAGTACTGCGCCAGGGCGGAAAGGGGAAGGAAGGATCCGGCTTTGGATCTGTAGATTGAGGCAAAGAGTTACCCCTCGGAGGAGAAGGCAAGCTCCGCTGACGGAGCAGCTGTTGCTGAAGCCTGGGTTGAGGGCACACCTTTAAGGTAGGGCTGAGTCTGCCACTAGGGGGCAGTGAAGAGGAGCTTCAATGCGAAGAGGGACCACGTTTAGAAGAGGGGCCATACTAACAAGCTCGCCGTCCCCCGTCCCCCCCACAGATGGCTGCAATGAGGAGCTGGTGGGGCCTCTGTATGCGCGGTCCCTGGGCGCCTCCTCCTACTATGGGCTCTTTACCACAGCCCGCTTTGCCCGGCTGCACGGTGAGCTTGCCCAACCAGGGACGGGAGGAGGACTCCAGAGAGCTGAGAGAAGAGAGTGGGTGGTAAAAGCCCTTGCCCTTTCTGTAGGCATCAGTGGATGGTCGCCCCGGATTGGGGACCCGAATCCCTGGCTCCAGATAGACTTAATGAAGAAGCATCGGATCCGGGCTGTGGCCACACAGGGAGCTTTTAATTCTTGGGATTGGGTCACACGTTATATGCTGCTCTACGGGGACCGTGTGGACAGCTGGACACCGTTCTACCAGCAAGGGCACAACGCGGTACTCTCGGTGCCCAGGCGCACACACTTGGGGAGCCTCCCCTGCTCTGGGCCCCGGGCTGGGCACTAGCCTGAAGGGAAGGGGAGGGAACAGCATGAGGCACAGGTGAAGAAAACTACTCTTGGGATCCGGTCCAGCTCAGACTGTTTCTCGCCAGTTATAAGCTTTAACACATTTTAGTGTAAAACCTAGGAGACCTTCCTGCAGGTGGTGGCATTAGATTTGTGCTTTGAAAAAAAAAAATAATAGGACACTCTAGACCAGGGAAACTAGTCCGTGTACAATCGTGGAGGCAGGGGAGGTGGAGTGAACTCTCGTTCCCGCTCCTGTCAAGATTGGCAAGGTTTGAAAGAGGGTGGAGACATGGTCACTGCTTTTCCCAACCCCCCATCCCCACCCCGCAGACCTTCTTTGGTAACGTTAATGAGTCGGCTGTGGTACGCCATGACCTGCACTACCACTTCACCGCTCGCTACATCCGCATCGTGCCATTGGCCTGGAACCCGCGCGGCAAGATCGGCCTGCGGCTGGGCATCTACGGCTGTCCCTACAGTAAGGGCGTGGAGGTCGGGAGTGGGGGCAAGGAGCCTGGTCTCCCTGGTCCCCCGCCCACCCACGGTCCTTCGCGCAGAGTCCGACATACTGTATTTTGACGGCGATGATGCCATCTCGTACCGCTTCCCGAGAGGGGTCAGCCAAAGTCTTTGGGACGTGTTCGCTTTTAGTTTCAAGACAGAGGAGAAGGATGGACTGCTGCTGCACACTGAGGGGGCCCAGGGGGATTACGTGACGCTTGAACTGCAGGGGGCGCACCTTGTCCTGCACATGAGCCTGGGTGAGCTTCCGGACCCCAGAGTGCTGCCCTGCCTAAGCCTGGTCTTCCCCTTTTGTAGCGCTTGGTGCTAGCAAAACACCAAGAGGGTTTTAAGTCGGGAGAACTGGATTCGGCTAACCAACGGTGTGACCTTGAACAAGGCATCGTAAACGCACACAGAATGATGTTGTATCTCATTTGCTTTTCATAACACCTGTGTGATGAGATACACGCAGCTATCCTACTCAGATTTTTTTTCAGATAGCCAAAGAAGCCCAGAGAGGTTAAATTGGCTGCACACTAGTCAACGGCCATTGACAGGCTTTGACTGGGTACTCTGTGTTGGGAGCTGCTGCTGCCTTGGGAGCTAAGGCCTGCTGGAGTTCTCACTCTGTCCTGCCCTGCCCTCAGGCAGCAGCCCCATCCAGCCAAGACCTGGTCACACCACGGTGAGTGCTGGCGGCGTCCTTAACGACCTGAGCTGGCACTATGTGCGGGTGGACCGATATGGCCGGGAAGCAAATCTCACCCTGGACGGTTACGTCCATCGCTTTGTGCTCAATGGCGACTTCGAGAGGCTGAATCTGGACAATGAGGTGACCAAGGGTGGGGCACCACTTTTGGGTGTGACAATGGATAAGTGGGGGGGGGGAATCCACTCCCCATCCCACCTCTCTGCATGCCAGAAAGGCTTTTCTTGTCATTGTTCTGGTCCTCACCGCAGATCTACTATGATGGGTCTAGAAATCCAGATGTGGGGGATCAAGAAAAGTAGGAAAATTGTCCCTTAGCCTCGTCCCACAATTCTCTGCAGTTGATAAAGACCCTGTCACCATCTGCATTTTAAGTGTCTAAGACAGACAATTTTGACCTGCTGAAGGCTTACAGCCAGCCAACTTAGGCTCAAATCTAAATGCAAGCTTTAGCACTCACCCTAGGGAAATGTGTTCCAAGTCTTTCTGAAGCCGGGCCTAGTACTGAGAAAAGGGTACTTACTGTGCATGCACCCGGGAAAGGTAGGCACTCCCCCTAAGCACAGGGAAACCTCTTTTCACCTGCTTCCCACAGATATTCGTCGGGGGTCTGGTGGGCGCAGCACGTAAGAACCTGGCCTACCGGCATAACTTCCGGGGCTGCATAGAAAACGTGATCTACAACCGGATCAACATCGCAGAACTGGCAGTGATGCGCCATTCGCGAATCACCTTCGAGGCTAGTGGGCAGGGGTGGGGGGAAGAGGTTTGGGATGAGATCCATTCTCAGTAGTCACATTCTCAGGTGGTTTTTGGTTAGGGGGTTGGGGTTTTTTTTTGGTGGGGTGAGTACCAAGGAGATGTAAGTTCTATTCTATTCACCCCTTAGTTAAGAAGCTGTGAACCACTGGTGGTGGTGGTGGTGGTGGTGGTGCACTCCTTTAATCCCAGCATTCAGGAGGCAGGGGCAGGTGGATCTCTGTGAGTTTGAGGCCAGCCTGGTTCACAGAGCGAGTTCCAGGACAGCCAGGGCTACACAGAGAAACCCCTGTCTCTAAAAACAAAGAAAGAAGCTGTGAATCGGTCCAATCATCTCATTAGTTAGCAGATGAGGGAAATGAGGTGCAGAGGCTCAGAGATGTTTGACCAGGAGCATGTGACTCCGAAGTGACAGGGTAGTGACTTGAACTGGAAGTCTTTTTTTTTTTTTTTTTTTTTAAGTTTTTTTATTTATTATGTATACAAAAGAGGGAGCCAGACCTCATTACAGATGGTTGTGAGCCACCATGTGGGTGCTGGGAATTGAACTCAGGACCTCTGGAAGAGCAGTCGGTGCTCTTAACCTCTGAGCCATCTCTCCAGCCCTGAACTGGAAGTCTTTTGATAAAGTCTCCTCTATGGTCAACTCTGGAACATGTGTGCATGCTCCACAACCTCTGGGCTAAATTGCCCTTAGCACTATGAGAGGGAAATTTTTGCTTTGCAGATAGTGGGATAGGTGATAAAAAGCAAACAAAGGAGCAGAATCCCGAGGGCAGGCTTGTTTGGGCCCCTTCCACAAACATGGACCTATTTGCGGGGGGGATGGAAGGGTCACGGCTGGCGGTCTTACCAGTGAGAATATTCACAGGCCGCCCGCTCCTGATGCACCCATCCTTTCCCTTCTAGGGTAATGTGGCTTTCCGTTGCTTGGATCCGGTTCCACACCCCATCAACTTTGGAGGCCCCCACAACTTCGTCCAAGTGCCTGGTTTTCCGCGCCGTGGCCGCTTAGCGGTCTCTTTTCGCTTCCGCACCTGGGACCTCACCGGGCTCCTCCTCTTCTCTCGCTTGGGAGATGGGCTGGGTCACGTGGAGCTGATGCTTAGCGAAGGGCAAGTCAATGTATCCATCGCGCAGACCGGCCGCAAAAAGCTTCAGTTTGCTGCTGGTAAGGGGCTCCTGGGAGGCATGAGCAGGCTAGACAAGGGTGGGAACTGGAGGAAACGGGTGTTCTCCGGTTCTGGGGGATTCCTGGAGATGTTTGCCAGTTATTTCCACCTTTGCGCACTCTGTCAGTGGCTAAACTTATGGACAGTGAAGAGAGCCATCAGGGGTGTCCAGGTGCAGGGAGAGAAGTGTAAAAATGGGGTGCACTTAGACTGCTGTTGGGAGCAGAGTTGGGCTCCTGCATCCCCACTGAAA